CGGCTTCCCCAGCACTGCTGCCAGCGGGCTGCTGGACAGCCCCACTTCCATCACCCCGCCGCCCATGCTGAGTGCCGATGACCTGCTAGGCTCCCCCACCTTGCCTGACTGCGCCAGCAACCCCTTCACCTTCTCCAGCCAGGAGCTGGTCAGTCTCTTTGCCCCCAGCATGGGGGTGCAGGTGACCAGCGGGAGCTCCCCCACTACCTTCTTGTTCAGGCCCATGTCCGAGTCCCCCAACATGTTTGACTCGCCGCCTAGTCCTCAGGACTCCCTCTCTGACCAGGAGGGCTATCTGAGCAGCTCCAGCAGCAGCCACAGCGGCTCAGATTCCCCTATCCTGGACACCTCAAGACGTCTTCCCATCTTCAGCAGACTCTCCATCTCCGACGACTAATCTGGGGTTTCCTCTTGCTCCCCGCCACCTCTATGACGATGTTAAGCTGAACTCCCCCCACCCTGTCCCCAGTAGTCTGAGCTGGATGTTAACGGTGTCCACCTGCCTGCCATAGACCCACTGGCTTAAACCTTAAGTGCCAAATTACGATGAAAAGCAATAACGTTTACAAAATTAGTGCCTTTAACACTTTCACTGTGACTGTATTACCTCTCCAGCTGCAGAGGGCACCAGCAGCTCTGTGCACTTCCAGATGTGCAGGAAATGTTCGGATCCAGCTCCCTCCACTGGCCACGTACTGCATTGCCCTCTCCCAGTCCCTTCCCGACTGGCCAGTTTCTGCTAGGCTGCAGGCATGTGGGCAGGCGTTAACATCCAGTCCTCTCTCTCTCCCCCTCCCCTTCAAGACTAATCTTGCCTGGATCCACTCAGGTCTGCGGGAAGAAAAGCTGAGAACGGACAAAGATTGTAACAGGAGTGGGACTTCGACTGGGAGGAAGAAAACAAAAAAGAAAACAGAAACCAGATGGACTATGAGAGACTCGATTTTGGTGCTAAAAGTTCCCCGTGTATTCGTGTGACATCTTAAAACAAATAAATAGAGGGGGTGGGGCCGACAGAAGTCATTCCACACAGACACAAGTTCGTGTAAACAAAGTTCCAGTAGACATAGCTTTAATGGTTTTGCTCTAGAGTACTTTAGACCTATCTTAGAGCACTCACGCCAAGCTTTTTATTATTTTTTTCTGGGTTTTTAATTTTGTATAACTTTTCAGAAATTGGAGAGCAAATTTTGCTTGTCACTGCACAACAATATAAAAAAGCTTATTTAACTTATCAAAACGTATTTATTGCCGAAACCTATGCTTTTTTGTTAATTTTGTTCATATTTATCGGGATGATGAATCCATAGAATATATTCTTTTATGTTTAAATTATGATCTTCCATATTAATCTTAAGATTGTGAAGTGTCTTTTTTCCTTTTTTCCCCACAGTTTAATATATTATACTACAATGACATTTTTTGTAACTTTACACTTTTTTGGTTATTTTATTTTAAAAAATGAAAAATTAATTTAAAAAAAATGCAAAAACTGTGTTTGGATTATTTATTTTAGAATTTCCCTCCCCCCTTTTTTTTTGTGTTGGACTGCAAATTGAGTTAATGTGCTTCTTTGCCTTTCTTCTTCTCCTCTTCCCCTCCCCTGGGTCTTGCCTACCTGGGCTTTAGAATGTACATACCTGAGCTCTGTTGCGAGACAGCGTGGAAGGAAGACCTTTTTCTTCCTCTTTTTGTACAGATTCTTCAAGGAGAAAAGCCTTGGGCTCAAAAGTGCCTATCTGAAGACATTCCAAATACAGTTTGTCTTTGCGTTTCTGTATTCCAAGTTTGGAGTTTTCCTTGCCAAGGTGAATGGGACTGGCACAAAGAGAATAATGAATGTAATTTTTTTTTTCCCCTGTTACTGTTCACTACATTGCTTTTCCTTACTCTTTGTGTGAGTTTATTTAAAAGAGAATCTCTTTTGTAACGACTGTTTGCAGTTTAAATCAATAAACCCCAAGTTTTTTCAAGAAACTGACAGTGGAGCTGGTTTTACTTGCAAAGATGGAGGGGCTGGTTTTAGACAACCACTCAAACGCAGATGCTTCCCTCTTGACCCTTGAGGTGCCCCTTGGTGCCCAGGCAGCCCTCAGCATTCCTCACTGAATCGATGAGTCCTGCGAGCGCAGCATCAGCAAACGCCTGAGGTGATCTACCTTGGTGGCCTCTAACCCTCTCTGTCTCTTGTGGAGTCCTCCTCCCATCTTCTGCAAACTTCTTTCTGAGCAGTGTAGCTTAAACCTTGGATTGGCTTTTGTTCCTCCTGTGCCCCATGTTCCTGTACAGTCCCGTCCCTCTTGAGAGGGGCCTGTGTGTATTCGGAGTTAGGATAAAGCGGGATGCTGAAGGGGGGCAGATTTCCCAAGGCTTGGGTCTGTGTTGGTGGTGGTACCAGTCTGCTTTAGTGAGCAGCTGTTAGGGTTTTTGCATGGGAGAGGAATGTGGACCCCCAGCAATGTCTTGGTGCGCATGCAGATCATCCCACGGTCGCGTTCAAGCCCCTGTGCCCCTTGGAAGTATCAGTCAGCCAGTCCAGAAACTTCAAAGCCAATGTTTTTGTTCAGGGACACTTTGCTGGCGCTGCTCATGGTGCATGTCTTGTGTTTTCACCTTTGAGCTCGCCTCTGGAGCAAGCTTGGCGCTCTTCATCTGAAACTGTTCCAGCTCTCTTTCAAATCGGGGGTGGAATATTGCTGCAGAACCACCGTTCCTTCAGCTGTCTTGACACGCCTCGACGTTCAGGAGAGACATTTCCTAATCCATGTTGGAAAAGTGCCTGCCAAACAAAAGCTGCAGGATACCTCAAGGCTTACACCACCGAACCTTCCCTGCTGTTGGCTTTGTGCAACTCGCTTTCTTGTGTGGTCTGGCAGTAAAGGCGAGCTGGGTGGAGGAGAGATGGTGGAAGAGGAGTATGGCTGGCAGAAGCTGGTTCCCACGAGCAGTGCAAAAGCTGCATGTGGAGTTTGCATCGCAAGTGCTGACATAACCAACACATGGTGCAGTCTGCGTGCTGAACCCCAAGAGAAGAGCCTTGGGCACAGCCCCAGTAGTGCTCAGTGGCCTTCAGATACCTTCTCCTGACCGCAGCCCTGCCCCTGGACACAAAGGCAATGGGGCCCACATGAATGATGGCCTGGAAGATCCGTGCCTGGCTGCAGCAGCCTCCTGGGCCTGCCTTCTTCCCAGCTGCTAGAAGCCAAGCCATCAGCCCCTGAAGAGTGAAGCATATCTGATCTGGAGAGGATCCCAAGCTTATCAAAGGGCGAGCTTGAAACTGCTCGCTTCCTCTCTGGACTTTCTGCACAGCTCTTCAAACAAATAGTCTTGGTCCAGTTAATAATTGATGAAGAAAATAGCTGTATTAGAATCATAGAATCAGAATGGTTGAGGTTGGAAGGGATCTTTAAAGGTCACCTAGTCCAACCCCCCTGCAGTGAGCCCCATCAAGCCTGACCTTGAATGTCTCCAGGGATGGAGCCTCCACTACCTCACTGGGCAACCTGTGCCAGTGTTTCACCACCCTCATGGTGAAGAACTTCTTCCTAATGTCTAAGCTACATCTACCCTGCTCTAGTTTAAAATCATTGCCCCTTGTCCTATCACTACACGTCCTTGTAAACAGTCCAGCCCCAGCTTTCTTGTAACCCCCCTTCAGGTACTGGAAGGCCACAATAAGGTCCCTCCAGAGCCTTCTCTTCTCCAGAGTCAACAGCCCCAACTCTCTCAGCCTGTCCTTATAGCAGAGATGCTCCAGCCCTCTGGTCATCTTGTGGCCCTCCTCTGGACCCGTTCCCACAGTTCCATGTCCTTGTTGTGTCGAGGGCCCCAGAACTGGATGCAGTACTGCAGGTGAGGTCTCACCAGAGCAGAGCAGTCCTAGTACAGACCACCTGAGAGACACCAGTTGTCACCCATCTCCATCTGGACATTGAGCCATTGACCACTACCCTCTGGATGTAACCATCCAACCAATTCCTTAACCAGCAAACAGTCCACCCATCAAATCCATACCTCTCCAATTTAGAGAGAAGGATGCTGTGGGGGACTGTGTCAAAGGCCTTGCAGAAGTCCAGATAGAATAGTTGCATGGTGCTATTGGTATGATTAACAACTGGGAAGCTGTGCTCGAAGTAGGTCTTGGCTCACAGTACGTGTGCACTTCCCTTATCTTTCTAATGCGCTGGTTCTGGGAAGCCAGCTCTGTTTTTCCCTTGTCAGTTTATTAATTATAAATGCTCTGTCACTGGGTGTTTCGCTTTTTGAAACTAGCCCTGACCTAGGTCACGCAGGGGACAGAGAAGAGCAGAACAGGCAGCATCAGAAGTTAACTTTCTGTAACTGTGAGAGAGAGCGCGAGTGCGCACACGGGAGCCTCCAGCGATGCAGGGATTTGCCTGACCTGATACCATTAGCATTCATTGCAGCTTAGGTATGCAGCAGCAGCTGGTGTGAAGGGACTGCTGCTTCCTTGGGTTTACCATGGATGGGTGTCCCCTACCAGTTAGCCATGGTTGGTAATAGCCTAGCCAAGGGTGAGGAAGGAAAACAGCCTTTCCTGGCATGATGGTTTTGAGACACAGGTTCCTCTGCCTTGAGGGCTCCTCCATGCTCTGCCCCATTGATTCAGTGCGCAGGAAGAAGGGGCTGGTCCATGCACTGGAGCAGTTGCTCCTGACGTGCCTGGTGTGCCAGGGCAGGGAGAAGCACCCTCAAGATTCGTGTTGTCCCACGTAGGGTGGCATCGCAGAGTGTGCCTCTGCACCTTCCAGGTGGCACTTACAGCTCTTCCTGTGGGGCAGGGGGACACCCGTGGTGGCTCTCGCTGCTCCTCACGTGCTTCTTGTCATGGCTGCCTGCTGTGGGCTCCTTGTAAGAAGACTGGGTCCATGCTCTGGGCTGCAGGCATTGGCTGTCACAGTTTTTGGCTTCGAAGTCATGCGACCCTCGTGCTCTCCACCTTCAACATGTCTCGCTGCCTTTGGAGATTCCAGCCAACAGCTACAGCTGACTGTGCCAGTTGCCTCTTGGTAAGGAGTGACGCGATGACTTTGATCTGTGGAGCTCCAGGTGGCTTAGATCCCACTCCAGTAGCTGCCTCTCTCCTTCCTAATTCTTACGACAGCCGTAGGTGTCCCAGTGACTGTACTGGCTATTCCCTTGCTATGGGCTAGGTGTGGCTTTTGTACCAAAGCATCTTCAGTTCTGCAGTTGGGGGCCGTAGAAACAGAGGCCACCTCATTTCCAAACTTCTCTGTAGGTGAGGAATGCAAAGTCATATGGGGTCTCTTTGTTGTTGCTGCTGTTTTTAAAGGCAGTTGGGAACTTTACTATGTAGTTTTGGCCAACCTTTCTTTAGCATCACTTGTACGTAGGCATGGTGTGCCAGGTTGCGAGTAACAACCACAAAAATAAATAAATAAATATCGTAGGCATGGTGTG